GTGTCCACTATTTACCAGAATGATATATGTCCGTTATTAGATCCCATCCGATGTGCACCATACTTCCCCTCACTGGCCAAGATTTACCATTGGCAAATTCAAATTTAATGCGGCCAACTTGGTTGGCCAAGCCAAGCCAAGCCAAATTTATGGATTCCACTTGGCTAAAAGCCTGAACGATGGCCAAAGGATGAAAGCGGGGTGTCAAGACACCAACAAAAAAATAGAAAAACATAAAAGGGGAAACCGCCGTATTGATAGATGGACACCAAACAGATGGATAGCCATTGGATGGTCAAAGCCATTATGATTTGGCCAACAAATTAGCTTTCATTATGGTAAAATCTCCAACTAACCTCGAAGAGAGACTAAACTTAGTATTGAGTGATAATATATCTATTAAGAAATCAAATAAAAATAGCTTCCCTTCTAATATTATTCCCCCCCAATCAAGACTTTTATCTTAAATTCCTTCAAAAATAAAACCCAGAATATCGAAAACCCCCCAAAAGGCTGCAACAATTTCCTCATTTCCAGCCATTACATCGCCCCCTCAACAAATGCATTTGTAATGACCAATTATTCCACAAAAGCGTAGTCCCCCCCCTTGATGGAATGTCAAATTCAGGACGACTCTTGATGGCATGCGAATCCGTGGCCATAATCCACCGTTCCAAACCTAAACAGAGACGACGACCATAATCTGGGGCAATCAAATCGTGGATTGCAACGCATAACATAACACATTACGACCAAGGACAACAACAGCAACAACCACAACAACAACAACAACAACAGTAAGCATTAAGTCCTCATCACTCGAAGGACTCCTCCTGCTGCTGCTACTCCTCCTTCTCCTGCTATGTATAGCTGTCCAAAAACAAACTGTCGACACCTGCCATGAGTGATCACCGCTCCCGGCTCGCATTACAATGCAAATAAGTCGGTGAATGGTTGCGAGGTTTTTGTTGGTTCAAGGAGGAGTTCGGGGGGGGGGGTAGGAGGAGGAGGAGTTCAGGAAGTTCAGGAGTTCACCAGCAGTTGCCGGGGCGCGGGGAGGCGGCTTGGGTTATTGCCCATATGGCCGCCGGAGTTGGCAACTCTCGTGTAACCCACTCGACGAAACGAAACGAAACGAAATATATACGGCAAACACATTTAGCCCGTAATGGACGTTTTCTTTTTTTTTTTTTTTTATGGCATTTATAAGCGCGGCAAACAACGTTTCCCTGGGAGACAGACAGACAGACAGACCTTGTTTTTACTTCTGTTTTTCTGCTTGTTGGGAAGGTAATGTTAGCTCGACTTGACTCGAAAAATAAAAGATCGAAATAAATTAAACTAGCATTGAAGGGCCCTCGAGAACTACGCGGAAAATGCGTTCACCTTTATGAAATATTTAAGCACAATCAGCCCGAGACTCATAGAAGAAGCTCATTTATGTTGAATATCTAAGCGACGATTTCTCCACAGATTGGGAGAGAGGGGGGTTATAGGAGATTTTATAGGGTTTATTCCGCTAGACTTTCCTTTATTGAATGTGGAAAGTGGGAACTTCGTTAAATAGTTTGAAGGATAACGAAATATTTTCATCATTAACTTCATTAGTTAATGTTCCTCACAAAAAGTTCATAAAGAAATAGACAATTATGTTTATGAACAATGAAAATAAAGATAAATATTGGATTTTCCACAGTTTTTAAGACTGAAATAAATCACTTTTTAATTTATAAAACATTAAAGTGATTTCTATAAGCATTCCCATTATAGTTTCTCCTCATTTATTCCGTTAATTCCATATTCTTCGAGGATACCTTTCCCCAACTTAACAACAACTTTTTATATATATAAACTCTGATTCTGATTCTGATTCTGATTCCCACTTCAACTCTATCTCCATGCATATCTCCCTTAAACTCTCAATATTATTCCATTTCTAGAAGCGCTGCCACACTCCACATTCAATAGCCTTTTCTATGGCAAGGTTCTCACTGAGGTTCAGGTTCATGTTCCGTTTTTATGTTTACACAGAAAGAAAAAATAGCTAACAAAAGTATGTAGCGAGATGTTTTTAAAAAGAATTTTAATACTTTTTTTTTAGACATTTAGATGTGAGAGAAAAACTATGAAAGAAATAAGAATTTTGATGAAAAAACATCAGCAAATTGAATGTAATCAAAATGAGTTCCCAATAAAGATAAACTTCTGTACATTTTTTAATAAATTTTTAAACAAAATTAACAAGTTTTAACATTAACATTAACATAAAATTCTATTAGAAACTTCTTCTTTAAATAACAATAAGTTTTAAATAAATACAACACATTCTGGTATTAAAAATACTTTAAAGAAATTACAAACTTAGCTTCTTTTTTAAAAGAAGTTTCCATCTTCGACTAAATTTTCCGATTATCGTAGAACAAATTTATCATTTAGCTAGAAAAACTTGTTGCCTTCTTATCCCTTCTCTTTTCCCCCAGTGCAGCTCTTTCATGGCGTATCCAATAAAATGTGCGAAAAAGTTGATGCGCGGCTCGCGATTGCCATTTATTTTTATTGCCGCACTTACCTGCTACTTAGCGCCTGCCTCCCGCCTACGTTTTCTCTTCTTTTTTTTTTGTTGTTTTAGAGAGCACGTAGGCGTGGTCGCTGACTACGAGGTGGGCGGCAGGCGACACAGAAAAGTTTCAAGTTTGAGTTTGAGTTTTGACTTTTGCCGAGTGTGCGTTCTGCCTTCAATATAGGTAGAGTATAGAGTATATAGTATATATATCTATATACTGGCACTTTAATCAGCAATGCCAGCTGCTCCTTTTAGCTTTTCCTGCGAGTGAAAAGCGGGGCAGGTGTTACACTGCTGCTACTGCTGCTGCTTGGCCAGAAAAGCCAGAAAACAGATAGCAAGCTAGCAAGGCAAACGGGGAAAATGCGAATGCGAATGCGAAAGGAAATTCGCACATAACACTTCCCAAAAAGGCCATAAAGTCGCGCATATTTATAAGCCGTGCCCGTCTCTCTCGATTTCCATCTAGGTTTCCCCCCCTTTGCTTTATGTCAGCTTTTTATGGCCCAAGTACATATAATCCAGTATATATCTTATATATACATATAGATAAGGTACCTTCTTCTTTTTCCTACATCGAATCGAATCCCAAACCCCATTTACACTCCATACAATTGACATCTTGCAACCTTCTGATAGCCAAGAAGATCTTTTTCCCTTCTTAGGCTCTCGTCAGCTGCCACGCATTTGTTTCGCATTTTCACATTTTCACATTTTATTGCGCCAAATTGAAGGCGGACTTTATTGCCGACTGGATTTTTTAGCATAAACACAATTTATGCATATAAAATATACACGACTAAGGAATAACAACAACAACAACAACAACAACAACGAGTAGAAAAATGAGAAGAAAAATTTGACAACAAGAAATTGCCAAAAAAAGACGTGACAAACTCTTCGGTGAAAAATATCAAAAAATGAGAATAAAAAAAAATAGAAAGGGAAATGGGAATGTGTAGAACGAACGACCGACCGGGAGGTGCCCGGGAGCAAAAGTTTTTAATTTGCTTAGACGCGACCAAAAGTCTGCTAGGCAAGAGTCCTGAGAGAATCGAGCCGAGGCTATGCCTGGCTATAGCCTTCGCAGCTTAAACCAGATTAAATTATCGCATTTTTCTTTATATATATATATATATATTTTTTTTTTTTTTTGTCCCAATGCTGCTGTTGCTGCTGCTGCCTATGCCCCTACTGCTGCTGCCTCTCGTTGATTCGATTTTTGCTAACCAAAAACGAAAGCAACAACCCAATGGTATAGCAAAAATATATAATATATATATATATACCCAGATATATATATATATAAATAAGAGACGAAAAAAATAAGGAAAGCAAATCCGTAGGCAGGCGAGAAAAGTTCGAATAAATTGAGTGAAAGTTCACAGCATTTTGCCTTAAACATTTTGCCGACTCTTTAGGCGACGGCACATGGAGAAGAATCAACTTGAAAATTTTTGTGCCTCAGGTGTGGATGGCTTTCATTTTTCTTTCCTATTTTCCAGGCTCTGAAAAATTCTTCAAATAAGTTTTCCATACTGGCAGCAGGCTCAGAAAAGAAGAAAATAAAACGAAAGTAGAAGGAAAATCCAAAATTGAGACAGCAATGTGAAGCATATTTATTAGTGTCGATGGAAATTTGTTTGTCTGCAAGTTGGAGGAGATGAGAGATCGCAGATCAAACTTTTCCCCAGCCTACTTCTGGCTTTTTTATATAAATTTTTAATTTTTCTTGCACTTTTGAGGGTTTTTTTTGTTTGGGAAAGTTTTTCATATTTTAAGCACAAAATTTCAGGTGACAAAGAAAGTTTTCTTTTGGCTGCTAAAATGCCAAATTGGATTCTGTTTTTGGTCAATAACCTTAAACTTGGTTTTAAATATGATTTGATTATGATTTTTAATCATTTGTAAATTAATCACTAACGGAATACATTGATAAATATTTGATACTCCCAAAGATGAAGTCAAAATTTGTGGTTTTTGAAAGTTAAAAAACGTAGAAAAATCCAACATTTAGGCACATTTTTTAGTGGTTTTTTAATAATAACAGTTTTTAGTATTTGTTAACATTTAATTTAAGCAAAAACTAAACTGATTTTCCATAAATTTTTTTAAGACACTTTCAGTTATTTCTAAGTTATATTTTTAACAAATTTTATACTTTTATTAACACAATTTTCATTAATTTCTTAACTTAGCAGAAAATCTTTATTTTTAAGCAAACATCAAGTTAATTTTTAACATCACTTAAAAGGAAAACCACAAGTATTTTCCCACAACGCTTTGCTTTGGCGCTTTTTTTCTAAATAGATTTCCCTTTAGAATTGGTTTTGGTTTTGGTTTGGCAGCAACAGCCGCAGGACTTTAAAAGGCTCATCCTTACACACACAGGGAAACCATGCACACACACACACACACACATAGAGAGAACACTTACGTTTTGAGTTATTGGGGCAGGCTCAAAAGTATGCTTAGCTTTTCGCTTTCGCTTCGGAAAATGCTAAATGCAAAATGCAAAATGCAAACTGCAAATGCTTTCTCAACTGGAATTCACTTTTCCGCCTGTCGTCTCACTTTTCATTGTTTACGTTTCACTTGTGAATTACCCGCTGCTCCTCTTCTTTTGTTTTCGTGTTTTTCTTGTCAATTGAGAGAAAAACCCAAAAAAAAAAATCATACATATATATCTTATATATATGTGTTATATTTGCCTGTGTGTGTGTTTATATAGAACAGCACACTCTTCACACACTCAACCGAAAAAAACAACAAACAACAGATGCAATTTGGCGGCGGCGACGGCAGAGGCAGCGGCGGCGGCGGCGGCGACGGCGGCACGCGTTTTCCGACACGACGCTTTCTGAATTTCCCGCAAGGCGGGGGAGGTTGGCGTTGTTTGGGGGGCGGAGGAGAGGAGTAGTTGGTTTGGTTTCGCTTTAACGGTTATACTTTGAGGGGGTGGAATGGACTGGTTGGACTGGCGGGGACAGGGGGGCAGGTCGTCGTGGGGCGGTACAGGACGAGCCAGCCACAATTGCAATTTAACGATCGCGATCGCGACCGCTTTTCTCAAAAGCCTTCTGGCCAAACGATATCAATTTCCATATGATTTCCCGACAGAATTCAGTTTAAATTATGATTGAGAGAGAAAGAGAGAGATTTGAGATTTCCAGATTCGAGTTTTGAGGCGCAAGGCGATCCGAAACGAATCAAATCCAATGGATTATCCGTCTTGAGTCGCGTGGCACAAACCGCTACGTTCGATAACCTAAACGAAACTGAATTGCCCGAACTCTCGAATCTGGAAACTCGGCCAACAATTCGTGCCGCTATTCGGCCAATTCGGAACTTGTGTTCCACATGCTTACTTACATTTTCACAGGACACACACGAAGGCCGTTGCTGTGCGTGCGCTAGTGTGTGTTCCTTCGGCGCTCCACTGCTCCACATCCGTTTCCCTCTCCTGTTAACTTAGCCCAACTTCGTGTGGCATTTCCGCTAACTGCGCAGCCGCCAAGTGGCATCTGTGGACACAATGTGTGGATCTCATTGGCACGTGAGATGAGCAAAAACTTCGATAAATGCCGGAGGCTGAAATAGGGTTAAGTAACCCCGTTAAAAAACATTATTAGTATTTTGTCACACTTAACAACTCAAAAACTCTGCAATTTTCTCTGTTTTTTTTTTATTTACTTTAACGTTGTTTTCGTTTTTAAATTTTGTATTTGTATTTGTTACTAAAATGCAGAGCAGAATTTAATTAAAAAAAAAAAAAAAAATTGGATTTTAAGGGTTAATGACCCCTGTTTTTAAATTTTTTAAATGTTGTTTTCAGTTTAAAATAAGTTTTAAAATTACAACCATGCTCAAATCATATTTAAAAAAATAAAAAAATAATAATAATTTTGGATGTTAAGGGTTAATGACCCCTGTTTTCAAATTTTCAAATTTTGTTTTCAACTCTTTATAATTACAAAGCACAGGAAAATAAATAAAAAAAAAAAAAAATAATAATAATGTTGAGGGTTAAGAGTACTAATATATTGAATATTTTTAATATGGTTTTTAATTTAGATATTTAATTGCAAAGCACAGAGAAAAAGAAAAAATTAAAAAAAATATTGGATGTTAGGGGTTAAGGGTTAAGGTACCAACCATTTAAAAAAAAAAAAAAAAAAAAAAAAAATGATGTTGAGGGTTAAGGGTGCTAAAATATTAAAGTCTTACAAAAAAAACATATATACAGTGGGTGTGCATGCAAAGATTTGGATTAAAAAAAACTTAAAAACTAAAAAGTGGACCTAAAGGGTTAATAATCCAAGCTCTTTCCATGTCCACTTCTATATATATGTTTTTCTATATCACTTTAATATATAACTTTTGGCTGCTTCAGATTTCCACTGTATATATATATATATGAACCTTTATATATATATACAACTTAAGCATAACTGCAATTTTCTCCAAGTAATTCATATAAGTCCCTGAAATACCCTTGCCTCTGTACATAAATATATATATATGTATACATAGATCACTTAAACCGCCTTGCCAGTGCAGCGCCTTCAGCTTCTTCTAAGTCAAATATTCATAAATGTCATTGAAATAACCTTGAAAAGCACTATGCAAACTCTATTAGCACGCCTATGTATATATATGTACTTATGTATATGTATATCACTCTACTACATAACTGTTAATGACGTACCAATGCAGCCTATTCACCTCCTTGGATACCAAGTAATTCGTAAAAGTCATTGAAATAACCTTGAAAAGCACTACTAACTTTTCGGGTACGCCACTTTATATACATGTACATATATACTAATCTATGTATATCACTTAAGCTGCCTTGCAAAGTGCAGCTACTTCGCCTTCTTGAATGTCAGGTAGTAACTCAGAAAAGTCTTTGAAATAACCTTGAAAGACACTGCACTAACCAAGTGGTTACTCCACTGTATATACATATATATATATATGTATATATATATATATATTTAAATCACTTAAACTCTAATTGCATTTCACTCACTGCTTTAAACGCCAATTAACTATAATAAAAAACAGAATACGACCTTAAAATCCATGATGTCGAAGGTCAGGAACCCAGGAACTGATGCATTTTGCCGGTATATATATATATATATATATATACTTCTCTTCACTTCACTTCACTATTTCACTACTACACTACTTCTACTTTTCACTTTTAAGCACTTTCAATTGCAAGTCAGTGAACTGCACTCCACGACTGCTCTCCAAAAACTGATGCTCACCTGCCAAAATTTTTACCTCTGATGCTCAAAATTGCCAAAATTGGTACCTCTGCCGCTGCCAAAATTGGTACTCTTTATGACGTCGACTGCGAATGTCAACGCTCTCAGCAGCTATCCATTTCCCATAACTTCCATTGATCTTCCATTCACTGGAAGTATGCACTGGAATTTTTCCCGATCTCAGCCGGCATTGTTTGGGAAATTTTGATGGTAGCTTTCATGCGCATGGGTGTGTACGTGTAACTTTGGGCATTTTTGACTCTCCTCTCCCCAAACTTCACTCTCACTCTCTGGAATAAAAAATTGCGTCTCAATTTTTGACTCTCCTCTCCCCGAACTTTACTCTCGCTCTCTGGAATTAGAAATTGCGTCTTAATTTTTGGGCTTGCATTTGGATATGTAAGTGTATATATGTGTATATGCAAATGCAGTGATATATGTAATTTTACCTGCCCAATTTCTGACTTGTTGACTTGTTCTTCTTCGTTGTTTTCGCACTATTTGGAGATAAGAACTCTATGATCCGGTTTAAACTAGTTTTCCCTGTAATTCCCGATCTCCGATTAATTGCCGGCTTTGTTTACTCTCGCTCTCTGGAATTAGAAATTGCGTCTTAATTTTTGGTCTTGCATTTGGATATGTAAGTGTATATATGTGTATATGCAAATGCAGTGATATACGTAATTTTAACTGCGCAATTTCTGACTTGTTGACTTGTTCTTCTTCGATGTTTACGCACTTTTTAGAGATAAGAACTCTAGGCAATGTTTTGATTTTGCACGACAAGTGGCACTATATTTTGGACCACGACTGTATAAGGGAATTGCTGAGTTTTTGGTGGACTGGCACTGTTTTTTGGACCGCGACTGTATTTTAAGCAATTTCTTTTATTAAAAATTAAATAAATATTGTAAAAAATTATTTAATTTATGGAAAATTCTATAAAAATTAGCTTGTTTTTTTAGTATTTTAAAAAATATTTTTTAACCCCTTAATCAATTAAAAAATTATATTTTTAACCCAAAAATTAAGTCTTTTCCTGGAGGCCTCTGCTTATGTTCGCCCACTCGTTATCGAAGGGGCGGGTCAGCGCTGGCGGTTTTCGATGTGGACTCCATTTGGGTCCTCTAGCTCGTGTGGCACCTCCGAGCGACAGTCGTGGCCGAGAGGCAAGCAGCGCTGCAACTGCAAATGAGGCACGAAGTAGCCAGCAAAGGAGACGAGCCCAAAGAGAAAAAAAAAAGAAAACACGATGTGGGACAGACTGAGGGCACCGGGACACGGCACTCGCTGTTGCTCCTGCTGCTGCTGCCGCTGCTAGTGCTCCTCATGTTGCATGTTGCATGTAAGCCTGCTGCTGCCGCCGCCGCTGCTGCTGCTGCTGCTGATGCTGATGCCATCGGACAAGTTCAAGGGAATTTCGCGCGACAAATAAATTACACACGCACCGCCAGCTAGTGCATGCAAATTAAGATGACAGCCGCAGATTCAGCTGGCATTTCCTCAGCTTCAGCTTCAGCTGCAACTGCAACTGCAACTTCAGCTTCAGCTACTCGAATTCGGCCAGTGTGTCACTCAGCCTTAGGATGCCCCTATGCCCCTCTAGATGCTCTAAAAGTGGGGCAGAAATTTGGGACTTAAATTTAACTATTTTCTTGTAAATTTAGAAATAATTCCCATTTACTTTTGTTTTTTTATATTTTTTTAGTAAAACCTTTTCCTACCTATTTTCTAACAGTGCCCTGCTTTCAGGCTGTTTTCCCTGCGCGTTGCACTTTGCTGACTTTGCTTTACTTTTGCTCTGACTTGCCACTCGGATTCAGATTCCTTGACTGTTGCGGCGGGGAAATCTCTTATGGCTGCTCACTTGAACGGTTTTTCCCCGTTGTCGTTGTCGTTATTGTTTTTGTTTTTGTTGTTGTTGTTGTTGTTGTTCTTTCTACTACCTATTTTCCCCCAGATTTTCTTGATGTTTTTGCTGGTTTTTTGGTGGCAGTCCTAAGCCCTTTGCACTCACTTCGCTTGATTCGCGCATCGTCGAGCAGCATCAAGTTGATTTTCGACCGCCCACCGCCTGCCTGCTTACCAACCCTACCCCTCCTCAAACCACCCCGCTGAAAGTTGTCATTAAAAAATTGCACTCAGCGAGCCAAAAAGAGCTGCAACTCTGTTGCATGCAGGTGGGTAAAAGTTGCAGACTGAGGGGCAGGCTAGCAGGTTGTTTCCAGCTTCTGCGGCATTCGACATTGGGCATAAAAAGTGCAGCAACATCAAGGCTACCTTGGAGGAAACTTTCTGCATTTATGCAGTAGTTGCAATGAATTCATCCGGCCCACTGCCTCTTCTCTTCTTGCCACAAACTGGCAACTGGGTGCCTGGGTGGCTGGGTGGCTGGGTCGCTAGGGGCAGGAAAGAACCTTCTGCCTCTTCGAACTGACACGCTTGCCTCCCCCCGCTCTCTATGAGCCATTAAGGTCTCATTTAAATCAAGAGCAGTCTGCTAAGCGTCCGCCATCAAGTGTATTACATATAGTTTCGCCTTCGACTGCCACGCATTGCTACGCCTCACCCATCCCAACCCCCTTCTTATAAATGTTTTTTATATAAATTTATGTATATATATATATATATTCAGATGGATGGGGGATATGTAAACGAGACACACATGTCCATGACCTCTTGTATCCCCTGGTGGAATCTGTTCTTCAATAAGCAAAATACTTGCTTTTCGAGGCTTTTACAAAAATGAAAACATTTATTTTAAAATATATATCTGACTGTATAGGCCGAACTTGTCCCTGAACTTTTTTTTATCCTTCTCCCTCAAGGGAATTTTATAAGTAAATTTAATATATATACTAATATATATCAATATATATATACATATCAAACTGAAGAAAGAGAATGTTGTAAGTCGTTGGGAAGGCACATTAAATTGATTTACGTAAATATAGATTTGTGACTTAAATTTAGTCTTTTTGTTTAGT